TATATATATATCATGTATCAAAATACACTTGACTTTGCACCATAGCACCATAGAAACACTTTTAAATCGGCCACTGTCTTTTCAAGAACCTCCTACTGTTGTATTGATGAAGGAATTTTTTAATCCAAAAAGGACTGGACTGAGTTAGTATTACAAGCTCAACAGACGTGCACCAGGTGTTTACTAATTGCTGCTGTCGTTAGAGTGTGGAGCTGTGTGTGTGGGGGGCACAGGGGAGGGCTGCTCTCTGGGGTGGGAGCGAGGTGGGGACTGAGCTCCAGGGAGGAGCTTTGAGTGAACAGGCGGTGATTTGTACCAGCAGAATAATACATGACAAGTTGTGTGGATTGTCTGTGTTACATGGCTCTTCCCACATTTTACAGGTATACAGACAAAACTCAAAAAAAAAAAAATTAACTCAGCTTCAAATTCATTTTACATCTCAGAGTATGTAAGACGTAAAAAAACTAAAAACAATAAATACAATTCAATAATCATCTCTTAACCAGATCTGCTACCAGAAAAAAAAGTTCTCCACCTCTCCCTGCTGCAGGTGCCGCTTACCCCACGGCAGATAGTCAGCTTTTATCCCCCAACCCCGTTGTATCACATGCGAGTCATACGAATTATTTGTGAAAATTACAGATTTTTGAATGCCAAGGTGCAGGTAAATGTTCCGAAAGGGTTGACATGTGTGCAGAATGGCTATACCAGGAGATTCAAGGATTTTTCAAACATGCATGAATGAATCAAAAAGTCAACACTCTGGGTATGTTTTTGATGAGGGAATGACTTTATAACTTGATATAGAGCTAAAATATTCACCCATAGAATAACTGTTAAACCACTGAGTGACTTGAAAATAGATTGTTTTCTAATTTCTTTCACCGACCTGCTATTTCTGCCATTTCTCTGACACTGCTTGGCCTTTTTTTCCTACAATTATATCTGACTCTTATGGAAATGTTGGCTTTGTTCTGCAACTTTTTATCAGTCCCTCCTTGACTGCTCACATTGCAAAAATTGTACCCCAGACTGAGCGTGTGAGTCACCGGGGAGGGGAGGATGCTATGACCAAGCTTTAACCTCATGCACACATTTGTATTGATCCATACAAGCCTCACAGACTGTTGCTACAGACCAGGCTGCCTTCATCGTTTGGGGCTCCCTGTGTCACCAGTCAGCGGCGGTTAACGAGGACTCCAACACAACACACACACACACACACTATCACACACAAGCCTTTTGGCTGCCATCAGCCCCGTCCTCGCCTCCTGCTTCACTCTTTCACCCTCTTCCACCCCTCCTTTTTTATTTTTTGCTCTTCCTCTTTCTCTACCTCGCTTTTCCTCTAATGAGTTGCAACACTGATAACGAGCCTGATGATCTTCCATTGATTCAGCTATCACTTGCTTGTCTGGTAATTGATCCGTAGCTGAGCCTCTAGTTAATTATATGGGCTTCGACATGGACCCCTGCCCCACGGGGAATTCTCAAGTCCTGCACAATAATAGTTTTAATAAAGGAGCCCGAGGATCTCTAGGATCCGTTTTTTTTCCCTCCTCCCTCTATACTCTTTCAGCTAATACAGATTTTTCATCCCTCTATTTCCTCTTTCCACCCCAGATTTTCTTCATCCTCTTGTAATTTTAGTACGTGGTCATTACAAGGAAACAGAAAAAAAAAAAAAAGAAAAGGGCTGTAGAAAAATGAGAAGGAAGAGTGAGCTCTATTGGCAGAGTCCAGACCTCCCTCCCACAAATAACAGCCATTAAGCAGCCAGGTCAGAAGCTGAGCCACCAGCTTGACTTAAAACACTGAGTGCCACTTGAAAAACCCACAGACTAGCACATTTACACCCAAGAGCGAGGGAGGAAGCGATGGAGAGGAGGAGGAGGGGGGGAGATCTGGAACCTCAGCAGCTAAATTGTCACTTAATATAATTAGCCTCAGCCTCGCGCATTACAGTTTTGATAAGTTGTTAGGATCGGAGCTGGTGGTAGTAGATGGACTGATGGACAGGAGGTGGCATGTTGTGCATTTTTTTCCTGCTTGTGGACAGAGCAGAGGCCACCATGCAAAACATGAAGGAATTGGAACATTCTTTCAAAAAAGAAGAAGAAAAACACGAGAAGAGGACAAAAGGAGGGAAAGGAGTTAAGTTGTAAATGAAGTTGGAGACAAAAGACACAAGTGCACCTTTTTTTTAAAGCTGTAAGACACACGCAGCACTTTTCTCCTCCACTACCAGAAATCCCCTGTACATAACAGTAACGACTGGTGTGATAATCTCAGCAAAGGTTAACTCTGCACTGCCATTAGTGCCTGGCACAAAAGGCTTTTAACAGACAGCCTGGCAGCTGTCTGCGGCAATTTAGCACCAAATTTGAAGTGACTCTATAGATCAGAGCCCATTTAATGTAGCTGAGGAAGAGAAGTTCTCTGTCTTGTCCCTTTTGTCTTTTGTTCCTCTGCGATGGAAAGATCACTGCGACTTCTTCTCCTGGACTGACGCACCTGGTCTGTCATTTCTCTAATGATAGAGGAAAGGGACTGAGAGAGGGAAAATACAGAGGAAAAAGAAAGGAGTAGAAGGTGTCTTCATTGTTTGAAATCTGTCCTATACATCTCCTTCCTGCCCCTTTTTTTGTAGGGGGGGGGGGGGGGGTTCTATCCTCCTGTGTGTCTTTTTCTCTCTGTCTGCCTGCTTTTACTCCTCCATCCCTCATTTGATCCCCCCCTTACCTTTGCTGCTGTGGGGACCAATTTGGCTAAAATGGAACCTCTTCCTCATTTTTTTCTTAATTAAAATCTGGGAGCCTCCACAAAGGAGGAGGGGTGGGGGGAGGATGAGGAGGGGAGGAGGTGCTTCTGAGCGAGTGTGTTCATATGCATGCTGGTGGTGGCAGATTGCACGCGTTCCATTAGTCTTTCATTAGACGAGCGGATGAAATCAAACAAAAGGCTTCAGACTTTTTAAAGATGTGACAAGTCTTTGTGTGTGTGTGTGTGTGTGTTTTACAAATACACTATGAGGAAAACAGAGTTGTTTAAATTTAAGTAATAAATAAGCTTATTTTTTGTAAAACACTGAGTGTGTTTGCATATGTGTGTGTGTGTGAGGCAGGACAGTCCTGCAGGGGACCTACAGTAAGTTGCTCTGAGATATGCCGTCCACTCACAGCACAAATGGTAGTAAGGCAGGGGGGGACAAACGCTCCCCTCCTCCTTCTATGGCTCAGCGATGCCCCCACCTTCCTGCCCCAAGCAGAGGAGGAGTGTGTGTGTGTGTGTGTGTGTGTGTGTGTGTGTGTGTGTGTGTGTGTGTGTGTGTGTGTGTGTGTNCAGAAACAGTACTATATAACATTTTAGACACATTCTAGACAGTTTATCAGCTAAAAAAGTTAATTTTGGGGTAAGTTACACTTTAAATAATTCCAAATGTGTGCAGAGTCTTGTTAGCAACTGATAAAACCTTTTTATTACCAATGCTAAAACACCTACCAGGAGGTGCTAGGCATAAATCAAGAAAACAAGATATCTGTGTTTAGGAATTCAGCCAAAACTACGTGTCAAATCAACTTCAAAGACATGCAGAAGTAATAAGTAATTAAGGAAATATTGACAAAACACACCTTGTGGACACTACAAACAAGATGTGCTTGCATCTGTTTTCATGAGTTTCAGATCGCTGTGCTGCCTCATGGATATCTCTGGTTTTATAATAATTTAGCGTGGAGCGATCCCACAATTGCTTTGGCAAGTGTCTGTTTTTTACATACGAACAAGCAGCTTGTGATTGAGAGTGATGGAGACAGCTTTTTGGAAAAGGAGAGCATACTGGGACTGTAGTGGGGAAAGATGGGAGGGAGAACATGAAGCCCTGCCAAATTCCCCAAAGAACAATTTACTGTTATGGATGAATACACTGTCGCAGTCAAATTTCAACTTTGTGGATGTGTGTGTGTGTGTGTGTGTGTGTGTGTGTGTGTGTGTGTGTGTGTGTGTAGAAGTGTGCAGCACAGTGTCATTGAGCATCTCAGAGCGGAGCAGCACAGTTGACTCAGTTGAGCCCGTGCTGGCCTGACACACACACTTCCACACACTCTTTCTTCCTCACTCTCTCTCTCACACACACACACATCCTTTCCAGAGCTCGGCTCAGTTCCTTCGTGGCTGCGGCGGCGTACAGAGGAGTCAGAGAGAGAGAGAGAGAGAGAGAGGGAGAGGGAGAGAAAGGGAGAGAGAGAAAGAGAGAGAGGAAAAAGAGGGAGGACAGGCAGTGGCGAGGACGTCGGGAGAGGGACCGAGTCACTCAGAGAGAGAGAAAGAAAAAAGGAGGCAGGGAGAGAAGCGGGAGGCAGGGAGAGCCGGAGAGCTGGTGGCTCACTCTCACACTTCATCTCCACTTTCCTGGGACAGGCACAGATTTGATGGTAAGAGACGTCCGTGCTTCTTATTGGCTCACTCTTTTAAATTTAAATATTTCCCCCTTATTTTTGGACAGGTATTGGTTTACGTTTTGCACTTTGTTTTCATCTGACTCTGATTTTTTTTTTGTTTTTGTTTTGAATTTTGTAGAACTTCATCAGAACAGAAGATAATTTATGAACTTCACAAACTTCTTGTTTTCTAGAATTCCTCTACATGTTTTAAGTGTGCTGATGACAGCTCCAGCTGTAACTTTTTGCACTTTTTAAACACTGCAGATTTTTTTTGGATGTGTTTGGATGTGTGGGCAGGACAGCATGTTCTCCGCTGTGTTTGTTTGAGTGGAAGTGTGCCTGTCTCGAGCCCAGGTTTGAGTGGAAAATGACTGACAGGATGGATTAAAGAGAAAACTCCTTGCTCCACTAACAAAACTCCCTGACACTTTTACATTTCTTACATTTGTTTTTGTCCATTCTTGCCTGTCATACATGCCCCTCCAAACCACCTCCATCCCTCTCCCCCATCATCCCTCCTCTCCTCACCTCAAGCGATGCACTCATGTTCCCCTCTCCAAGAGGAGGCCCCCCACCTGAAGAAATTCACCTCTCCTTTCTCCGTCTTCACCAGAATCAAACTCCCAAACGCATCTTGCTTTGCCACCAGAGCTGCCAACAAAACCTCTGACACAGATGACTCTGCCATCTCCTCCTCTCCTTGTTATCCTCAACACGACCCTAACAGAACCCACCTTCGCTGACTTATTTTCCTTCTCTCCTCCTTCACACTCCTACATCCCTCTCGCCCTCCCTCACTCTTTTTCCTTTTTTTTTTCTCTGTCTAAGTCCAAGGAGGCAGAGTTGGATGTGAGAGACAACGAGTGCGACACAGTCCCACCAGAGCCCAGCGAAGACCACCCGGAGTCGCCCAGGTCTCCTGCAGCCCAGGGTAACGGACCCACCGGTGCAGCTGGCGTTTGCATCCCTTCCTGTAGTCACAGCAGAGGCGGCAGCGGCAGCAGCAGTAGCAGAAGTGTTCTGGGTGGCATTAGCATTGTCAGCGGCGGCGGCAGCGCTGAGGGAGCAGGTGAAAGCTCCATGCAGTTCAGCACCAGACCGCCTAGTGCTGAGCAGCCGGGCTTCATGGGGACATGGCAGCAGCAGAGCACTGACAGCAACCTCCTCTACAGAATGTCCCAGCAGGTATGTCAGCTCAGCCTCTCTACCTCACCTTCTTCTTCTTCTTTTAATTTTTTTTGTTCATCCTGTGAAGCCAAACTTTTACCCGTCTTCACTCGTGTTTATATGTTTGCTTTGGGAACAATCACCACCTCCTGTTCCAGACCAGTTTCATGTGTTGATTGTGCGTCAGCAGGGGTGTCATTGGGTGTGTTTTGATTTGGATATTTCAAACTAGAATCCTGTTTATTTTCTTTTTTTTTCTTTTTGCCAAAACGTTCTTGGCCACTTACCTTTCCTCTCTGAAGAAATTAAATGAAATGTCTCTATGCAGATGTCACACACAGTCACACTCTTTCTTGTCATGCAGCTTCTTTCTTATTTGTCTTAATTTATCCATGTAGATTTTCCATTATTTTCTTCAGTTACCCACCACAACAATGGTGCATTTTTGTGTATTAAAAAAAATTATTTTAAGAAAAAAAATCTATTCAAAATTGATTTGGCAGTTTGAGGGTTTCCCTCATTGTTCTACGAGCCTTTTTTTTTTTTTTGGTAACCTCGGTGTGGATGAAGATGGTGGGAGGGGGGGACCGCAGGGACCGACTAATTACCTTCATGTGGCCAGAGCAGGAGGCACCATGCGCGGCTGTAGAACGAAACCGATCCACGCCTGGAAAACCCAACAATCATCAGGGATAAACCTTCACAGGAGGACACGTCTCTCTCCTGTTATCACGGACTGGGTGGGAGTGGGGGTGAGAGAAATGGAGTGGGGTGGGGTGCGGGTATTATCTTCTCCAGGTGTTCCTACGAGCCTCCAGTCAGAAGAAGGAGAGAGTTATTTTGAAGTGATATATTGTTGGGATAAATATCAGGAACCTAAAGGGGAGGAGGATTCCCGACTTTTGAGTGAGTGAGTGTGTGTGTGTATGTGTGTGTATGTGTGCTTCCGTTCACGCGCACGTGTGTGTGTGACAGAACGAGGGAGGGATTGGTGTGTGTGTGTGTGTGTGTGTGTGTGTGTGTGTGTGTGTGTGTGTGTGTGTGTGTGTGTGTGTGTGTGTGTGTGTGTGTGTGTGTGTGTGTGTGTGTGTGTGTGTGTTTGGGGGGTGGGGGTGCAGTTCAGATAGAGCGTGCTTGTTAGGTCGCAGTTAATCATAGCGGGACCTGCAGGCTCTCTGTGCCAGGCGCAGGCTGTTACGCGCTCAGGCCGCAGCGGCTCTGTGCGGGAGATGAAGAGGAAACTTTTTTAAAAAAATTGATTTAATGTTTTCAAATGCCACCGATCTGAATTGTTACAGCCCCATAGAGGTAGTTTAATGGATTTTAAATTCTTTATATTAAAAAAAAGGTTTTTTTTTTTCCTTTCTTTAAAAGTCTCGGTGCCCAAACAAAATGTACAGACTGATGACTGTATTTTTTTTAATGATTTATTTATTTAAGCTGTGCTGCAGAGGTCAGCGAGCCCCGTTCGCTCTCCTCTCTGCCGGCTCAAGCAGGTGAATGCCCCCCCCCCCCCACCCCCCTCGCTCCACATCTGAAGGGACACCCTCCAACCACCCACGTTTGCGTCCCCGCTCCTTCTTCCAAATGCGCATCGTTGTTTCAGTCTAATCAGCTGAGGGACTCGCTGTTATTTATCCTTCCTCGCATCACTTAGACGGTATCTTCACCACGTTCAGTGCGCATGACATAAATCCTCCGAAGTAAGCCCCCCCCACCCCCCAACCCACCCTTGTTCCTTGACAGACTCGCCTTATTGGAATCTAACCGATAATGACTCGGTGTTTGCCGAGCCTGGCGCACCCCTGGGTGTTGGAGTGGATTGCGTTCTGGGCTCGTGCTTTTTTTTTTTTACCCCCCATCCTCCTCCACCCCACAACCAAGCGAAGATCACCTGACTGACACGAGAGTGTTTATTATTTTTATTTGTTTTTATTTATTTCGAGTTGAAGTATTTAGGCCGGATCGATAAAAAGCAGCTCAGCTCTCTGTGCGTCCAGGAGAGGCTCGGCTGCAGGGAGGCGCACGTCACTTCCAAACGTTTGGAAACTCTTCGGGAAATCCTTATAAAGCGCATGAAGCATGGCTTTAAGAAAGAGGAGACCCCCCCCCCCCCCCCCCCACACACACACACACACGATTTAAATGTACACTTTTAAATCACAGGAAGTGGTTTTGCAGCAGGTGCGACAACGTCCGTGTTTGACGAAGACAAAAGGCAATAACAAACTAAATGGAATTGTTAAATTATATAAACTCTTATTAGTGATGATTTGATTTTTTGTTCTTGCAGCACATAGTAAATATAAAAAAAGGTCGTAATAAAAAAACAAATAAATAAATAATTAAAAACCAGATGCACAACACAGGCCTGGTTGTCTTATTTTAGTTAGAATCCAGTCGAAATGCCTCGCAAACATTTTTTTCGCAGCTTATTTTTAAATATTTATTTCAT